TTAGCTTTATAGGACTAGAAAAACATCAACTCAAAGCCATAAGCTCGTAAGCTCGGCTTAATGAGACTTTGGATGCAAGATTTCAAAAATCTAATTCGGAAACCTCAACGAAACCAAATAGATTTAATTGTTACTTTATCARAATGTAAAGACGATTACGTATCTCAACTTTTGAATAAYACTATTTCATAAGAACACCAAGAAATTRGCCAGATTACTCAATCCTCAAAATGAAATTGACATTAAAGTAGAAATCAAACATATAATTTCATCCCAAACGATTACAATGGAGTCTCAAAGTAACCACAATCAAAATCTAAGCAACTAATGTTGGAAAAAAAAGGGTTTAGCCACACATGGCTAAACCTAGATTACCAATTGCAATAATTAAGAAAAATACCTAAGAAATTGGGTGAAATAGGGTGAGATGTTCTTCCAATCGAACAAGCTTCTTTGTCGTTTTCTTCCACCCTCGCCGACGACCTCCCTTGCGACCGAACAGCCCTTTTGCTCGATGACTTGCTGCAATCGAACCCCCCCTGCCTCTCTCGATTGCTTCTCTTTTAATCCCCTCGTTCCATCGCCACGACCCTCACGACTTCGACCCTCGCTGCCCACGTCGATAGTTGCTGCTCGTCTCGTCTCCATCGTGTTTCTCTCGCTGCACGATCTCTCTCTCTCTCGACTTCTGATCTGGGCAGCAGCCCAAGGCTGCTGCTGTTTGCTTTTTCTCCTCTTTTTACATGGCTTGGGCTGCTGTTATGGGTAGCAAACTTGGGCTGTTGTTATGGGCCAAAAAAATACACATAGTCAACACATTTTTCTCAACTTTAATGGCCTCATATAGTTAGGATTAACTTAAAATAAATTGGCCCTTTTTAAGTATATATTTAACATTAATTGTAAGGTACTTTGACGTAAAAATGTATAAAATTTGCACTTATCAGTAGCCCATTAAGTCACAACCGAGCAACCACTTAGTGTAACTTCAATGAAAACTTGAACATATTTTAACATATAAAACAATAAACAATTAATAAGCATTAACATACATGCACATACTTCAAACGGAAAAAAAAAAGACGTAACATTAACATGAAAAGTGTTGAACTTTAACAAACCTTAAGTAACATTCATAAACCATAACGTAATTGCACATACCTCAAATATTTTGACATAAAAATGTTAACGTGCCGTTATTAAAACTAGACCAGATCGTGCCCAACTCCAAAAAAACAAAAGAAAAAGCGAATTAAATTATATTGATAATCAAATTTTAATTAAACAATGTGTATATATATATATATATATATATATATATATATATATATGGTTTTCAAACATTTTAACTCGGGTTCAAAATTCTAATCACAAGTATATTTATACAATATTATTACATATATGTACAACTTATTAAAATGTTTGAACTTTATAAAACCAACTTTATAACACATGTTAAAATACAAGATAAGTGTTGATCATTATTAAAACCATATAAATACGTAAAATAAATTAAAGATAGATGAAATAGAGATATATTGCTTTATTATCCATTTTTTGTTTGAATAATGCTATTTATTATTAGAAATAAATTTATTTGATTTAAAGGTATATACAAACTAATAGTTATAGTGCATGGATCTTGTTAATCACAAGTATCAAAACAAAGAGAGAGATGTTAATGGGTATCAATAATGAAGTATTAATGGATATCAGTGAGATATTAATTTATTCTATTTTATGTCTAAATCACTTAATTATGATTTTAAGTTTTTAATTATTTAATTCAAAGAGCCTATATAAAGCTAGTAATTATAATTAATAAAAGTTAAAAAAAACTCAATGGACTTTAGTGTTTAGAATAATTAAGTTATTGGACAATTTTTTGAAACAAATAAGTCCATGGACATTTCAAAACATGTTAAATAACTTTTTGGACTTTCTAAAACCTGTTAGATACATTCTTATGACCTATACAACTAGTTAATGTGGTAAAATAATAAAAAAATCATGGAATAAAAAGAACAATGGACATTCATATTTTTAACGATTAAGTCTCTAAATATTTTTTAAACCAAAAGAGTACTTAGATTTATAAAATGAAACAAATATACCAAAAAAGTATTTATAGTTACAAAAAAAACATACATTTTAATTTTTTTTGATAACATTTGTTTTAATTAAAAATAAAATATATTATGTCAGTGATTTTTTAAAA